TCTCAGCAATGGACATATCAGGTCATTCTTCCTTTTTGTTTAATTTTCATTTTGCTGCAGTTCCCTGATATGGATTTCAGTAGATTGCACAAATCTGAGGGAAAATGGGGCCAATAACATAAAATTTGGGAAACTGAAAAGGAAAAAAAAAAACAACAAGTTCTTCATTCTGAATGAGCAGTTTGTTACCATCAAAACACCAAAATTTAACAATTTGTCTTTTGCCTTCGTCATTGTGACTGCAGATTGGACTAAAAGGGGAAGATAGTCTTCCCAGTGGAAGTTCTTCTCAATGGGTTTCACAACCTACCTTGCCCAAGAAACAACCCTTGACATGGTACAAGGTAAATTTTTAGCATTATTATCATGTATATGGGTGTATGTGTTGAAATTAGAAATACTGGAAAGAATGTGAATTTGGATAGAAATTGCAGGTACAAAAACTGAATTTAACACTTCCGACAGGTTAGGTATTTGCATATGCTGTATTTTCTTGCACTATCATGCTTGCATGTGGTGCATGCTTTAGGAAAACAGTTACTAGGAATGTTAGGATTCTATTCTTTTAGATACTAACCAAAGAAATATTCTTTCTTATTCAGGCAAAATTTAATGCCCCTGATGGCAGTAATCCTGTTGCAATAGACTTCACAGGGCTGGGGAAGGGTGAGGCATGGGTGAACGGACAAAGCATTGGGCGATACTGGCCGACCAATATTTCTCCAACTAGCGGTTGCCCTGACTCTTGCAATTACAGAGGACCTTATGACTCAAACAAGTGCAGAAAGAACTGTGGCAAGCCATCTCAGGAACTGTAAGTGCTAGAGAATCTAAGGTAAAAACTTGAACTGAAACTTTGATTCTGATATCACTATTCCTACAGGTACCACGTACCCCGTTCGTGGTTGAAACCAAATGACAATACTCTTGTCCTGTTTGAGGAAATTGGGGGTGATCCAACGCAGATATCTTTTGCTACAAGACAGATTGACAGTTTGTGCTCACATGTATCAGAGTCTCATCCGTCGCCTGTAGATATGTGGAGTTCAGATTCAAAAGCAGGAAGGAAGTCAGGGCCTGTGCTTTCACTTGAGTGCCCATTTCCTAATCAAGTCATTTCTTCAATCAAGTTTGCAAGTTACGGAAAACCGCATGGGACTTGTGGGAGCTTTAGCCATGGACAGTGCAAGAGCACTAGAGCTCTATCCGTTGTACAGAAGGTGTGATCTTGCTTGCTATGTTAACAAAACTCTGTGCACCTCCATTTTTTAGCTCTTCTTTCTTATGATTAATTTGTACTGGTTTACTGACAAGGGATACCTTGCACAGGCTTGCGTTGGATCAAGGACTTGTAGCGTTGAAGTCTCAGTTAATACATTTGGTGACCCGTGCAAAGGAGTAGCAAAGAGCTTAGCAGTAGAAGCTTCCTGTAGATAAGACATTGCTCCCTAACTAGCTCTCCTAATTTCTTGTGGGATATAGCTAAAATGTTATCCCCAAGTTTCTAGTTGAATAAAGTCACTGTCATGGATGGTATTGAATATGAATAATATTCTCAAATATATTAGAAAAGCTCTCTGATCAATTTTACAACTGTTGTGCTTGTTTAGAGGATCCTCTGCATACTATACTATTTCTTTATAAAAAAAATTAGAAAAAAACTGAGTATTGCCGTGCGGCTAAACTAAAAAAAAGAAAAAAGAAAAAAAGGACCTTCCTAGTTGCATTAGTTTATGCTTTATATATATTAATTTGGTATTGCCACTCGGCTATACAAATAAAATACGTACGTGTTTTATTTGGCAAAAGTTTGGCAAACTACAACTTAAAAGTTCGGCAACTATATAATATTTTAATATAATTTATTTAAATATTTAAATATATATTATTTCTATTCAATAATATGTGAAAATTATGTGTATAATACGTGAATTTTGTATAAAAAAATGTGTATTAAAAATGAAAAATGTATATGTATATGTTCAATATGAGTATTGTACGCTTGCTTTTTAATAACTCTGGAAAAGTAAAAAATCAAAAGGGGACAATAGTGACTCGGGTAATAGCCTAATAGGAATGGATAATGCTCTAAACTACTCTTATCGATAAACAAAAATTGGGGAAAAAAATATAAAAGAAAAAGAGGATCCCAGCATACATATATATATGTAAAGAAGCCGTGCGGCTATACTATATAAAGTATGGCCACCTGCGGCTATACTATTTTTTATATATAAAAAAATTAGAAAACCCGGGTATAGCCGCGCGGCTATACTATTTATTTATTAAAAAAAATGAGGACACGCATAGCGATGATGCGCCACGTGTAAAAAAGTATTGCCGGGCGGCCATACTTTAAACAAAAAACTGTAGTATAGCCGGCCGGCTACACTATTTCTTTAAAAAAAATAAAAAACCGAGTATAGCCGGTTGGCTAGACTAATCATTTTTTTCTTAAAAAACAAGAGGACCCGCCTAGCTATTAGGAGCCCGCCTAGCGACTAGGGGCCACGTGTCAAAAAAAAGAGTATAGCCGACCGGCTATACTAATTTTTTTTAAAATGACCCGCCTAGCGTGTCAAATTTTTTTTTAAAACCGCAATATAGCCGCACGGCTATACTATTTTTTTTTAAAACCGTAGTATAGCCGTCCGGCTATACAAATAAAGTACGTATGTGTTCTATTGGGCAAAATTTTGGCAAATTACAACTTAAAAGTTCGGCCACTATATAATATTTTAATATAATTTATTTAAATTTTTTAATATATATTATTTGTATTCAATAATATGTGATAATTATTTGTATAATACGTGAATTTTGTAATTTTGTAAAAAATATGTTTATTAAACATGAAAAGTACGTATGCACATGTTCAATATGAGTATTGTACGTTTACTTTTTAAACACGGATGTATTATTGAAAAATAGGTATGTACATGTATAATACAGTATTAAATATGAAAATGCTAATTTCTTTATACAAGTAATAGTGACTCGAGTAATGAACTAATAGAAATGGATAATGCTCTAAATTACACTTATTAATAGACGAAAATCAGATAAAATATATAAAAGAAAAAGAGGATCCCAGTTTTTATTTTTTCTTGTTGTAATAGTATGATAATTTCAGTTTGAGTTAGGGATCATTGTTACCCAAGATTTCCTTTGAAACAAATTTTGCAGCCCCAACATCAACAGGACGCTTAGGGCCTTCTCATCTTCCTCTACTGTATTTTTCTCTCTTCATCCGACTTTGTTTCATCATCCATCCATTTTCCCTGCAACCAATTTCATCAGAACAACTAATGGAAACTAGAAACTGTACTTTCTCAGCAATCCCCTAGACACTAGAAACAATTGAAACCACTAGTAAATTCAATGGGAGAAAATTCCATCAACAAATATTACATGACGACAAAAGCAAAATAAAAATTTATGAGGTATAATCATACCAGAAGGGAATTGTACCAAAAACATTCGACTTTTTAATGTCTTTCTTTGATTTCACCATTAGCTATCATCTCCTGAGATGGACTAGTACTATACCAGGCGAAGATTAGTAGGTGTTGATCAAATGAAAATTAAATGGGTTGCCTTGTTGAGAATAACGATAGAGACATAGAGAGATAGAGAGCGAGAGTGGCCAGAAAAAGATAGACAGGGTTGAAGTTGGAGAAGAAGAGAAAAATAAGAGGGGAGAGAGAAAAAATGGTACGAAGAGAAAGAGTATAGCCGACCGGCTATATTATTTATTAAATTTTAAAATTTAAAAAAACCGTGTAACGCCGAGCGGCTATACTATTTGAATTTTTTTTTTGAAACTATACTATTTCTTTAAAAACAATTTTAAAAAACCGAGTATAGCCGGGCCGCTATACTATTTCTTTTTAAAAAAAATTAAAAATCGAGTATAGCCGCGCGGCTGTACTATTTATTTATTTTATTCTAAAAAAGGACCCGCCTAGCGCTAGGCGCCACGTGTCAAAAAAGTATAGACGTTCGGCGATACTTTTTTTTTTAAAAAAAAAAACCTAGTATAGCCGCTCGGCTATACTATTTCTCTTTTTAAAAAATTAGGAAAAAACCGTAGTATGTTTATTTATGCATAACCTCCTCTTTGCTCCATGTTTTTTTAAAAAAAAATCTCGATCCAAAACTCAATTGTATTGACCCAAACAATGCGCACAAAAACAGTCAAATTTATCAAATATATCTGGTTTCTAGACATTTACACACAGTTTGGTGTTTACATTATCTAATTAAAAGGTATATTTCAGAAGGTTTGATCTTGCTTGCTATGTTAATAAAACTTTGTGCACCTCCATTTTTTAGCTCTTATTTCTTATGATTAATTTGTACTGGTTTACTGAGAAGCGATTCCTTGCACGAACTCTCTGATAGAGAGCGTGCCATGTATGAGTCCTACATGATTTTATCAATTCATGAGACACATGTATTGGGAGAATGTTGAAATAAAGAGTTTGAATAACTCCTTATGTCGCTAGTATTTTCCGTGTTGAATTCCCCATCCTCTACGTAGCTCCTTAATCATTTAACATATATTATGTAATAATTCACAAAAGTTGAAAAATCCTCTCCCCCTACCCCCAAAATGTACCAGGTTGGCTCCGTCACAACCATTGATGGTACTAGAACTATATGAGTAACATGATTAGTCTACTTTACACGAAATTCAACGTCACCCATACGACTACACACAAATAAGAGGAACTTTTTGTTTTCAGGTCCCCAAACTAATTCTTCAATGCAAGAATCCGACGAGGGACGTGATCCACCGCCTAAACCGAAAAAATTCTCCAACCTTGGGCTATCAATTTGCTTTCTGTCCGTCACTAGTTAGGTAAGCCTAAGAGCATGTCCACTCATGAAGGCAAAGGCAAGGCTAAGGTAAGGCAAGGGCTGCCACTATTTATGTGAATAGTGGCAGCCTTGCCTTAGTTGGTTCCACCCTTGCAGGCCCGGCCCTGGGCAGGGGCAAACAGTGCGATCGCCCTGGGCCCAATATTCAGAGGGGCCCAAAATTTTTTTTTTAGTAAGTATTATATTAGATTATTATAACTATTAACTAATTTAATATTTTGAAAAGAAAAAAAAAGACCAACGATGGTCTGTTTCACTCTTCAAGAAGAAGAATATTTGGATCTATTCCATTCCACTGCTCAAGAAAAAGAACATTTGCATCTGTTCCATTCCACTGCTCAAGAAGAACATCTGTTCCACTCCTCAAGAAGAAGAACGTTGCATCTGTTCTACTCCTCCAGTTCGTCGCTTTTGCTGGTGCTTCTTATTCTTCCTCTTCCTCTACAGAATTTTGAATCCCCTTCATTTCATCTCATCTAAGCCTCTCTCTCTCCTACAAGTTACAAAGTTGTGAATCCCTAAATTAATTTTTCTGTTGGTAGATTGGGGAGATTCCAAAATCCAAAGTGTGGGCTTTTATCAATTGAAGGTAATTTGTTTTCAGAAAGTGTGGGCTTTTAAAAAGGGAAATATGATTTTTTTTTGTTTATTTGTAGATTTGTGAACTCATGAAATTACATATTCTCTTTGCAGGGATTCTTTTAAGCTCTAATTGATTGCAAATTTGTTTATGTGGAGAGCGATTTCTCAAAGGGGGTTTCTCAACTGAAAAGGAGATGTTAGAAAAGCTTGAAGTTGAAAGCATCATTGAGGATTTTGCTTCTCAAAATGCAAGAAGAAAATCATTTACATAATACCTTTTCAGTTGTGATTTTGTTGTTTTTCACCTTATCTTGCAGGTGGTGATGTTGATATTTTGCTGGTTGCTGAGGATGCAAAGAGATTCAAGTAGGCTGCTGCACTTTGCTTTGGCTATTGAGAATGTAAAGACATTTTTGTTTTGCTGGTTGCTAAGGATGCAAAAGGGTTTCATATAGATTGATGTTATTTTTCTTAGGCTATTCAGCATGTAGAGAATTTTTTTCTTTTGGTTGGTTGCTTGTTGGTGGATGAAAAAGAACTTATTTTGCTGGATGAAAAAGAACTTATTGAATTGTTATAAGTATTTATCTTGTTTATACATTGTAGCCTTTTATTCTAAATTTTAATATATTGAAGTTTGAATCGATGGACAGATTAGATCTTGGTTGAAAAATAAGAGAGTTATCACTAAGTTTAAATATATATAGGGCCTAATTTTTACTTTTGCCCTGGGCCCTGAAAAATTCAGGACCGGCACTGCACCCTTGGAAGGCTAGGGCAAGGGCAAATACTATTTATATGAGATATGAATAGGTGAATTTGTATAGAGTTTTTGGTGTGGGAAGTAAAGAATATGCCTAGGTAGTTATTACAAAAAATTCTGGAATTTTTTATTTTATTTTTCCTTTTTTTTCCATTTTATTTCAAATTTTTTTAGTTGCTGACGTCATTATGACGTCAGCATTGCATCATCCTGCCCAGACAGCAGCTCGGGCTGAATTTGCCTGTGGGCTTGCCTGGGCTCATGGGACCCAGCTCTTGCCCGGGCTAAATTTCCTGCGCTGGAGGGGGAAATGGGCTGGCGGGGGGCCTTTTGCCCAGGCAGGGCTCCTACGCTGGAGGTGCTCTAATAGGAAACAGGAGGTGTGGATTACAGGTGGTTTGCATTGTAGTAGTTTTTCTTTCTTTTTCTGATCAAGCAAGGAAGAATGGGCAGGCATGTATCACATCCGGACATGCATGCGTAGGGTAGGGGAAAGAAATGCTAAATTAGAACATGCAGAATGGCAAATTGAGTAAATAGTATAGATTAAGACAGGTGGAAGAATGGCAAATTGTTCTCTGTAGTGACTTTGGAAATCTTTGTTGTTTTCAAAGTCGTGCATGAGATTGAGGCGAGACTCACTTTTCTCTTTGTCAAGTCCCGCGTGACGACAACCGTCAAGGGAGTGGGCCGGTCACGGTGGAATTTAGACTAGATTATCATTAGGGGTATGCATGCAAACTGCTTCTACACGAAAGAATATCAGACTCATCACTTTCTCTCTCTTCTTCTTTGCCGGCTCTTTATCATATCATTCTAAATTTCTTTATAATATTCCAACAATAATTTATATCCAGCTTGTCATTGCTCGGTTCTATACAGTATATTCTGCTCATAAAACTCATCAACTGGTTATTAGAAACTAGAAATAGAAAGGGTCTTAACTTGCATGATTAGTCTAGTTTCATATTCTAGAATCACAAAAAAGAGAAGATGCCTCCAAAGTCATTACTAAATTCATGAGCAGTAGCACCCTAGCACCTCCATGACCTAAAAAATGGAGCGGCCATGGACCACCAATTATCATGTTGCAAAATGCGAATTACATAATTAATAACTAATGAAATAAATACACTAATCACAATTTTAATTTGCAGATTTAGGTCAAGCCAACATGCCAAGTTAGTGTGTCCATACTGTTATATCCGAGTTCAATCCGCCTTATCGTACGGTATAGCATTGCTAAAAAAAGAAACTATTAATTTATATGTAATAACAAATAACAATGAGGTAGGCTTACTCATATCTCTCTCCCTCACGAGATTTTCTCTTTGACTCAAGTCCCAGGGTTCACACACAACAAACACATAACCAAACCAAATCAAACCAAACGCCAACTCCCGCTCACCTGCAAACTAAGTTACAAAACCACTCACATTAACCACACTTTCACCATAATTACCACTACTAATCCATTTTTCTTAAATTCTTACCCGACAAGGTAAGAATCACCGGCAGCCAAAAAAAAAAAAAACCTTCTGTCACCTGTCTCAAAAGAAATGATTACTACGCGTCTCCGTACAACAACTGACCGACGTGGCACACCAATCTTCCCCTGCGCCTCGTAACACCTGATCTTTTTTGAGCTTTGACGGCATTTAAGGCGCTCATTATCAAAACACAGCAGAAGACAAGATGACGACGACGACAACGACACTGATGACGTTCTTCAAAACGTCACTGCTTTGATTGCAAGCGTTGTTTTAAGGAAGCGGCCAAGCGAATAAAAAACACAAACAGAACAAAGAATCCAAACAGAAGCAAATGCTACAAGAACCCGTTTTCTCTTAATTTTACTCGTTAGATTAACCATTGCTTGAAGAAATTGCTTTTCCGAAATCAATTTTGTAATAAATATTGAACAGAAAACGCACAAGTGTTTTGAGGACGGAGATGAAAGGAAGCGAGCTGAGGATTGAAGTGGTGGTCGTTTTGGTGCTTGGAGTGTTGGCGACGGCGTCGTATTGCGCCACTGTGACATACGATCACAGAGCGCTGGTGATCGATGGCAAGCGCAGAGTGTTGGTCTCTGGCTCCATTCACTATCCTCGAAGCACTCCCGAGGTACTTTTTCTCTTTCTCTGTTTTTCTTTTATTATTATTATTATTTTTTTGAATTTTTTGAATTTTCTCTCTGAATTGCTCTGTGTGTATATAGATGTGGCCGGACCTTATTCAGAAATCCAAGGACGGAGGCTTGGATGTCATTGAGACCTACGTCTTCTGGAACTTGCACGAACCAGTTCGTGGCCAGGTCTCTCTCTCTCTCTCTCTCTCTCTCTCTCTGTAATCACATTAATGGTTCTTGGTTCTTGCCTTTTGTGAGTTCTTCAAATCCAATACGGCGGCGCTTAGTTGCCTGAGAAAATGTTGGAACAATGTTAATACCAATTACTATACTACTGTTTTTAGTCATGTTGAAGTTTGTTCTTTTCTTAATTGTCAGGACAGAAAAAAGCCAAAAGAACTCATCATGATACGCGGAATTTTATTGTTCGTTTTAAATATGGGTTAATCATTTTATTAGTCCCTAAATTTAGACTCAATTTGTATTTAAGTATCTCAATTTCCAAAATGGTTCCCATGGTCCTTTAACTTCACTTTCATTAGGAGAAATAGTCATGCCGTCAATTTTGTTAACTTTTTCTGTTAAATGTGGGCAAAATGATATTTTTATATTAAACAAAAAGAGAGAAGAATATGGTTGCAGACTGCTTGGCCAAGGGGAGCTTCAATTTTGATCTGGGACTTGTTTCCTTTACTGATATTCCTAGGTGGGTAGGGACTCACCTAGAGGAGGACCTGATGGGAGTCCATAGAACCCGCCTTATTGCTGTTGTGTAATTTTTCTTGGGGCTCTTCCCCCCATCTCACCAAAAAAAAAATTATTCGTTTGTTTCAAAAATAATTTGGGTTCATCAATGAGGAGAAATTTGGAAATTGCATCCACTATTTAAGCAAATTTAGACTTTTAGCTTCTTTTTTTTTTCTTTTCCTTTTAGGAGTTTGAAATCTACCCATTCAAGGTCTCCTAACGCTATAACCCACTTGAGTAGTTCTAGAATCTCACTCGAGTATGCTCGAGGCTCCCTCAAGTGGTTAAAATGCTGGAAGCCAGAAAAATAAGTGGCTAAAAAGCTTTAGGGCATTTAAAAATTGACTATTTTTCAAAATTTTCCATCATTCTTTGTTTTTCTTCGAAGTAGAAATGATAGTTTAAACTACAGAGGAGGGAGATTTCTCACACACACAGAATGATGATGCCATGAGGATTCGAACATAAGACATATAGTCTGCAAGTTAAGGCTCTTATTCACTTAACTATATTAGATCCCGTGGGTTTTTTTTCTTCTTTTGAAAGTTGGAAGAGAGGATCAACCCGAAAATTATCGGGTCGGATATTTTAGAATGCCAGAGTCCGGCCCAGGAGGTTTTGAATTTTCACATCGTTCTATGCTGGCTAGCACCGGGACCAACTTTTTTGTATTTGAAATGTAACCGTTCAGTTAGGCCTTGTCCAATTTACTATTAAGTTCTAGTGGGTACAGGAATTAACAGGGGCATAATAGTCTTTTCACGTATATATCATGTGGAAGGCGCTGCGCGTCTCTCTGTCTATATATACAGCTTATTTACCCTAAAATTTGGTTAAATCTAACAGAAAATTAGATGGTGGGACCATTTGAGTAATTAATATAGAGTTGATGGACCATTTGAACGAAGAATTTAATTCAGGCCCCAAAATGTAAATCGCGTACAAGTTTGGGGACCATTTGAGTAATTTACCCTAAACAAAAAAAAGATGAATAAAAAATCATATCTTTAAAATAACAATAAAATCAAATCAAATAAAAAACCAACTGTACTACTGTTATTAGCTGAAGTTTGCTCTTTTCTTGTTAATTGCCAGGAAACAAAAAGCTAAAGAACTCATCGGGAATTTTGTTGTTCATTTTAATATTGATACTTTTAGCTTTCCTAGCAACCAAACCAAACCAAACAAAACAAATTTTTTTTTTTTTTTCCTCTCTCTCTCTCTCTCTCTCTTGGGTTATCGATGTTTATTCTTGAATGCGCTGCATTTTGTCTCTGTTATGATTGTGACTGGAAAAATCCATTTTGCAGTATGATTTTAGTGGACGAAAAGATTTGGTTAAATTTGTGAAGATAGTAGCACAAGCTGGTCTTTATGTGCATCTTCGAATTGGTCCTTATGTATGCGCAGAATGGAACTACGGGTATGGATTTTATTCAATTTCCTTTCCTTTTTGTTCTTTGGGAATAAAAAGGAAGTTGCTTTATGATGACTTTACTTATTTTAGTATTTCTGCGGAATTTTATTGTGTAATTGTGTTTTTGTTTCAACTTTTGAACAGTGGCTTTCCTCTTTGGTTGCATTTTATTCCTGGAATTCAATTGCGAACTGACAATGAGCCGTTCAAGGTTTCAACTGCGAATTGCCGCCGCCTTTTTTTTCTTTTCTTCTTGGTATTTTCTCAACTTCATTAATTAATTTATGAAAATATCTGTGGTTCAGGC